AAAAAAAAAAAAAAAAAAAAAATCGAATCGTACTGCAACTTAGAAAAAATCAAACCGAAATGGAACAGAATTTTTTTTAAACAAAAATAACCGAATCGAACTGCATCAAAATGTACAATTTGGCTCTACTTTCAGTTTTATCTCGATTTTTCTATGTATTTTATTCAATTTGGTGCGATTTGGTACAAAATTAAACCGAACCGAACAAAAACGAAAATCGAACTTATGAAAAATTATAATCGCACTGCATCGCACCACAATGTAGGAAAAAACGAACGGAAATCTAACCAAAATTTTTTTACACTAAAAAAACCGAATTGAACAGCACTGAATTGCATGGTTCGGCTTGATTTTTTAGTTTCGGCTTAGTTTTGCTTATCCCTATTTCCAGCCGAGCTAAGTTACAATAAAATCAATCAGAAAATAATTTATTATTATTATTTTTTTCAAGAAAGAGTACACATATGTTAGAATTCGGTATGGTTGATGTCTAACCAGGGGTGTAGCCAAAATTTTTTTTTAACTCGGGGCTGCATGTTATTGTAGTTATTAATGGAGCCTTGTAGACATGGTCATGGGTCGACCCAGCCTGTCGGTTCGGCCCGAAACGACAAAAACCGGCCCGTTGACCATGGATCTTGAACCGGCCCGTGGTTTTGAACACTTTGGTTGATGTACAATACTTTATAATTTATACATTTTGAACATGCGATATCGGTTTTCGAACTGCAACCAGAATCCAAGGTATTATTATTTTAATTTTTTTTAATGAACCGGACGACCAATAACTAACAGTTCAATGAACCGGACCGTACATATGTTCGCGCCGGTTCAGAATCCTCCAACTCTCTGCCTGGTATCGACGGTTTCGACCTGTAACCGATTTTGGTTATGATTAGAAACAAATTATGTGTAAACATATGTTGGTTTGAATTGTGAAAACTCAATCTCGAATCGCTTATATATTTAAACAAGCCAAACTCAAATAGCCAATCGAACTTGTCGATCGAACAAATAGAGTCGAACATATTTGCAATTAACTCTGTACGAGTTTTCTCTTTATCTAGAAAATGATGTGGAATTAACTATTGGATGCAAAATCAACAAATAAACAAATAAATGAAAATAGATAACAGACTGTGGAATGAGACGAACCCAATTAAATATCTAATTGGAGAAGTCTGTGTCAAGCTTAATTATTCAGCTCATTTGATATTTATAAAGTCAACTAAAAATTTAAAAGGCAAGAGTGCGTTGGACTATATTATAAACTCAATTAATAAAATTCAATAAGGTCACAATTGTCATTTGACAATAAAGATTTTTTTTTTTTTTTTATCGATATGCATACGTTTGTACACAAATTATGTACTTTGAGAAAACAATGTGAAAAAACTAAAAAGTGGTGGTTGATTTTATTATCCTAAAAATAATGTGTGATTAGAATTAGTGTTATGTCCTAACATTTATAAGGTTTATATTTTCTCTTTTTTTTCTTTTTTTAATAAATTTCTAATAATTTCTGTTAATTAGTTTTTTTTTTTATTATCATTATCTCCTTAGATCTTTTATAAATTCCATATAAGAAGATAGAATTTGCAATAGAAAGTCAAATCCAGATTTTCTTCAAGGCACTAAACTTTAGACATGATAATTGTTATGAGTAGTATAGTATCAATGTCGTGATCAGCCGGATTTAGAAAAACTTTAGGCACCATGACATGAAAGTATCTGTGGGTAAAGTTGGAATAGAACAAGAGAGTCAAAATAGTGCAGCGGCTTTCTTGTGACTATTTCAAGAATTTGATTATTTTAAACTTTAAATAAGATTAGCATGATGATTTGTTATCTTGAGAACTATGACTAGACCAACTTTGTCTCTACGCCATATGGTGTAGACTATTATTATTATTATTATTGTTATTATTATTATATTATTTATTATTATTATTTAATAGCTTGGAGACTAATCTAGAGGCCTTATTTAAAGGGATCTTCTATTTTGTCATTAGACAGTTGATTTTTGAATGAAATAAGATTTGATTGGTTTTATCGATAGAGTATCTTGTTTATCTTTTCTAATCGTACGCTTCCCTACATCAGTTGGTATCAACAGTCAGTATGATTCGCGATGCGTTGGGGCGACAAGATTCCGCAAACGAACGACGTGATGCAACCTTCAACGATCGGTTTCAACAGATCGACTATCGATTTCAACTACTGAACGTGCGTTTCACGGATTGGTTTGTCGATCTTTCGACGGGGATCGAGGATTTGTAATTGAGACTTAACAACGTGGTTGTTTTGGAATTGCAGACGAACCGCGATGGGGCCGTGGCAATCGTGAGGGAGCCAGGAGCGGACGTGGCGGATGCTACTATGTCGGGACAACAGTGATGACGGCGAATCGACGAGCTCAGAGGAAAATCCTTCCGTCGCCAGCAATGACCGACTAGAGAATGAAACCCTAGGCGATTATCGGATTCGAGGGTAGAGGCTGCTGGACTCCCTAGGTGCTGGTCGACATCGCGAGCAATGGAGGCCTGACGGGAATTTCACGCCAGCCTGGGAGCGCGATGGACAACGTGGCGGCGACTTCCATGTTCATGAGCAGAACAATGCCAATGCTTTCTCAGCGGCCTGGAATCGCAATTTCCAACGTACTACAGCGGGTTTGTCTATGTCCAGGTTTGCAATTGGCGTCTGTGGTAGGGCGATGTCCGGCGCGCTACTGTGGGGGTTGCAGACGCCAGGGACCGCGACGTGCCTCGCTGGAGCACGGACTTTGATGAGCCCCCTCGCTTCGTCCATCATCGGGCAGCCGCGAGTTTCAACGACCAGCAGGGGCATCGTCACACGGGCTGGAGTTTTGGGGATCCCTCGGAGTTAGTGCCCGACGTGTGCAGTATCTACGACGCTCCAGCAATTTTTGATGAGGAACCGGCTGGGCAGGCGGAAGAGGAGGATTATTCAGATGAAGCTATTGCCTTCATGAAGAGAATAGTAATGCAGAGGGAAGTTGATTGAAATGGAACTTTCTTGGAAGCGTTTGGGAGAATATAATCAATGTGGTCATACTACTCTTAGAAGCTCGCTTGGCAACAATTCAATCTTTTAGCATTGGTAGGGTCCCAGTAGCTCATCTGTTGATCCAAGCCGAACAACCTGCCAAACAGATAAAGTTGAAGATATGGGATAGTTATGTTGCAGAACAGGAAGTTTCCAATGGTTTGGGTTCAGTAACATCAACTGAAAGAAGACATAAAGAAGAATTCAATGCTGTGGTCACAGAAGTTCTGGAAGATGATTTATTTAATTTTCTTGTTGTTAGGTCCTTTAATGTTGTCGTAGGGGGTGATACCATTAGGGTGCGACATTCAACCTTCGTGTTCGACAGGGGGAAATAACGGGGGATTACTGTCTCCACACGCCGGCCACGAGAGCGCATCAGCTTCGAGGGCAGCCTTCCGAAACGGAGGATAATGGTGTAGACTATTATTATTATTATTATTATTATTATTATTATTATTATTATTATTATTATTATTATTATTATTATTATTATTATTATTATTATTATTATTGTTATTATTATTACTTTTTTTTTCCGAAACGATAGAAGTAATATAAAAAGCACAAATGTGCAAAAGAACAGATTATAAGACCCCAACAGGGTAATTCTAAGACCCCAACAAGGTAATGAGACAGGGGCCAACAGCCCAAACCAAAAACACCCTACTAAACCAACTGGAATAGAAAACTTAGAGGACACGCACATGGCGGCCTAGAGAACTCCACGAACGAAAATAAAAGAGAATGACAAACAGAACCACTGCAAAGTGCCTAGCATGTAATCATCTCCGAACCAAAAACGAAAAACAAACTAAAAAAACTATGAAAATACAAACTACAAAGCAAACAAGCCCAACAAACAATTACTAAAACTAAAACGACCCTCCCCCGAAGAACTGACGAACCCGAGCAAGCAGCTACAACCAACTTAAGGAGAGGCCCCTAGCCAAGTCCCAACCCCCGAAACTGCCGAAGGCCTAACAAGAGTCGGGACCCCGCCCCCGAACCAAACCCTAAGGTCGGAACCCACCAACCGGGGAGATCAAGCCCAGCAGCCCCGACCCGATCGACCAGGTCCGATTAACACCACTAGCCGGACCCAGCTTAATCGGAACCCGAGCTTTCCAAGGGAGTGGAAAAATCGGAAAAGCTGCCCCCAGCTCATCTCCCACTCCAGCAACCACCGCGAACACACGGCGACCATCAGAGCCCCAAATCGACCACCACACAACAACGCCCAGACAATACCACTACCATAGCCTGATCTGCATCCACCAGCCAAAGCCCCAAACCGAAACCCTAAATAAATCAACCTTCCATAACCTTCCAATAGCACAACACCCAAACCAGAGAAGACCGGAGGAAATCCCAAAACAGAACCCCGCAGCAACTTCGAGCAACGAACGCAGCAGAGAAATTGTGCCCGCGCCTCACGCACCGACAAGAGGGGGAGGACGCAAGGAACCAGCAGAGCGGCGGAATTGAAAGGGAACGCCGATGGGATCGATTGAGCGGCCAGCAGCGGCCGCGAAATCGGCCGCCGCGCCCCGGAGGAGGCCAAGGAAGATGAAAAATACGGCGCTCTGGTTTTGTGTTGAGAGAGAGAGATAAACGAGAGAGAGAGATTTGTTGCTTTTCACTGGATCATGTGGAATTACAAATGATATAACCCCCACTGTCCTTTATGAGGACAATGCAGCTTGTGTTTTACAAATGAGTAGTGGGTATGTCAAAGGAAGCATGACAAAACACATTGCTCCAAAATTTTTTTACCCACACGAGCTCCAGAAGAGCGGTGAGATTATTGTACAAAAGGTAAGGTCTAGCGAGAACTTGGCAGACCTATTTACCAAATCCCTTCCTACATCTACTTTTGAAAAATACATTTATGGTATTGGTATGCGTAAACTGGGAAGACTATTGTCTTCAGGGGGAGGGAAAAACTCAAAATAATCCCGAAGATTAGGTCTTGAAGACCAAATGCTGTACTCTTTTTCTTTTAACTAAGTTTTTCCCAATGAATTTATTAGTTAAAGGTTTTTAACGAGGCTGCTAGTAAAACACATGAATTTTTATAAACCATGTACTCTTTTTCCCTTGACTAACTTTTTTTCCCCTGTCGGGTTTTTATTAGCAAGGTTTTTAATGAGGCATGTAGTAATGTCCAAGGGGGAGTGTTATAAATATATTAATATGGACATTACTAATATATAATTGGGCCTGAAGTCCATTAGTTAGGAAATTAGGTTTTAGAGTTTCTCTCTTGTAAACCCTATAAAAGGGTGATATACCGATGAATAAAAATACACTTTTCTGTTTCTCTTTTATCGTTCTCTTTACTGCACATCTTATGCTTGGATTGATGGATGTTTATTGACGATTAAGAGTTCCAATTTACAACAAATTTGATCTCACTCTAAAGTTATGGATTATAATTTTCTCTTTTCTTAACAAACTAGTACGTACCTCGTGCGATGTACGAGACAAAGATATTAAATGAGTTATTTTCACAGCCTTGTCCGTTTAAGTCTAAAAAGTAATAATGTTATTATCTATTTTCAACCTCTTTTAATCAACGTTAAGTCTAAAAAATTATTAAGCCGCCCTCTGGCAAATATGTATGGAGTTATGTGTTCGTGTTTCATAAGTCACAAATATTATGAATAACAATACAAATTATTCATTCAAACTTTTATTCATTGCAAATATATTAAAATATTTTATATAACAACCATTAAATACTACTTTCATTATATTATAAATAAAAAGTACATATAATTTCTGGTGTGTTCAAATTTAAATAATTTTTTATGGGCTCAATTTTAAATCATCCAGACATTTGGTCAAACACATAGGTGTTTTCAAATTTAAATCATTGACATTTTAATCGGTTGAAATTTAAATCATCTACCATGGTATTGTGATGTGTATTATATATATATACAATTTTTTAACAATTAATATGTGCTTTATAAAAATAATAATAATAATGTCAAAAGATTTTAAACGTAAAATTTGGTTTTTAATCCCAATAGAAAAATCATGGTAAGTTGTATTGAAAATGTGTTATGAGATAAAACAATTAACTAAAATAATTAAATAAAATACTTGATGGAAATAGAATGTATTAATTACCTTTGACTTTTTTTTACTACTAATTCTAGTAAATAGAATGCCTTTTTATATAAGTATAGTTTATTAAGATCATGGTCAGTTAATTTTAAATCAAATACTTTAGAATAAAAATCGGTGCGCCTTTTATGTTTACAAGACACATTTTAAAGAGAACGAAGATTTAGGGATATAAATGGGTCGGGTTGGGTACGGGTTTTGGCAAACCCGAACCCGACCCGCATATAATTTACCCTACCCAAACTCGACCCGTTACCCGACTATTGATCTTCGGGTTCGGGTTGGATTTTACCCGGCGGGTTAGTGGATTTTCGTCGGGTAAACGGGTAACCCGAGTCTTATATTTAGGTTTTTCCCGACCCATCTCATTTCATACGAAAAAATAAAATAAAATAATTTCACAATTAATTATAATGTAAGAAATAATTTATTAACTAAGTTTGACAATAAAAAACTATAAAAAATATATTATTTTTGGAATAAATAATGAGATATGATTATTTATCTTTTATAGTCTATTTAATATTATAACATTTAAACTTAAATATATATATATTTTTTTTCCGAAACGATAGATATATTATAATCAAAAGGCACAAAGTGCAACTACAAACTGGGAGGACAGGTCAGAAGACCGCCTAGAACCTCAACTAGCCAAGCTAGAATAAAAAGACTCAACAACTAAGAACAGGCACAACACGCTACCCACAACTAGATTCGCTCCCCACAGGAGAATAGGATCGGCCCCCACGGGGTAATCAACACAGGGGCCAACGGCCCAGACCAAAAAGACAATACAAAGCACTCAGGCAAGAGCCCAGACCAAAAACACTTAACTACGACAAACTAAAAAAAAAACAACAACAAAAAGAAAAACAAGACAGGGCCCTTCCCCGGCAAACGAAAGAGCTCGACCTGCAGTGAAACGATCGACACAAGAGAGGCTCCAAGTCCGAGCGGCGGCTACCGAAACTGCGAAAGGCCTATACAGTAGAACCGAATGAACTCCAAACCAATCCCAGAATCGACCCGTCCCCAACCAAGAGGGAAACAGCCAGCACCCACACCAGACCCACCCGAACTCGTCTAACACCACTAGCCGAGCTCGAGAGAACCGAATCCCGCCGCCTAACACCACTAGACGCACAAAGGGTGGAGAGAATGGCCGGCCCCTCAACTCCAACCACTGCCACCAACAGCCGCAGCACCGGAGTCCCAACCCACCCTTCAGAACACGCACCGCCCTGAACCACCACGAATCACAAAGCGACTAGAAGCCGAACCCCGCCAGAGCGGTGAGGCTTCGCCTCAAAAAACACAGCCCAACAACCACAGACAAAGGGCGATGAGAGGTATACCTGCCCAATACAGCACCGACGGTAAGGAGAAGCTCGATCCGCCGGCCAAACGCCGACCAGGAGAATCGCCACCTCATAATTACCCGGCGTGATGAGGCCCATTGCAATTAGGGGTGAGCGTGGATCGTACTGTTCGAAGATTGATAAATCTCCACAACCGTACCAAACTTCGGAGATCCTAAAATTTGATCTCCGGAACCGTACCAAAAAGTCGGTTCGGTTCGGTTCAGAGATTTTTATTTTCGGTTCATTTCGGTATTCGGGACTATTGGGGCGGTTCGATTCGGTATGTTTGGTTCGGATCTTCGGAGATTTTTTATTTTGTTAAATTATTTTTGAATGACTACGTAGTTATATTTTAAATTTATATGCTTTAAAAAACAACATTCATCAATAATTCATCATATTGAAGATTTTATTTTGAAATCAATTCTAGAAGTAACTCTAAATTTTATTTATTTAATT